TAGTAGTAGTAGTCGTAGTAGCAGCATCACAGCAATAGTGTAGTAGTAGTGTAGTATCGTGTCGTGTAGTAATATAGTGTAGTACAGTAGTAGAGTGTCGTTTTGCAGTGTAGTGTAGTATAGTATAGTATAGTATAGTATAGTATAGTATAGTATAGTATAGTATAGTATCGTAGAGTGTAGTATAGTAGTGTATTGTAGTGCAGTGTAGCGTAGTATAGTATACAGTAAAGTATGTACAGTGTAGTGTAGTGTAGCACCGTAGCACAGTATAGCATAGGATAGTCTAGTATAGGTGAACCATCAGTGCAGGATCCAACGCTAAGAGCTCACATGGGATCTGTGCTGCGCGTCCTGTCAGCACCCGACCAGTCCGCACACTGATGTTGGGACACCTGTGCAGGAGCGCCGCACTTCTTGAAGTTGGCTTCCTGGTTCCTTGCTGACTTTCGCCAGGCCCTTTAAGCCAGCTCTGCAGTCTGTGGCTCACCAAGTTTTGCCGTTGACAGCATGACAGATTCCGGAGTGGGGGCCGTACCGCCGGCGGCGTGCAGTGGTGGAGAGGCAGACCCGGCATCTTGCAAAGCAAGTTCCAACCCTGTAAGCCAAAGCGTCCAAGCCGAGGAATGCGGTGGAACGCTCTGCAGATGTTGGCTGCAGCTCCTACGATCGCTTCGTCCTTGCAACATCCTGCAACACATGGGCAAGCTTGATTTTCCTGTGGCGTAACTTCACCAAACGGCTGAGACCCCGGGAAGTGTTCGCCCTGACCCTAAGAAGGCGTGCTCTTTGCTTCAGATACTGAGTTCAGAGCGACAACTCCCTTTAAACCCGCTGCACTCTGACGAGTGCTCGTACCCGCGAGCAGCTACGAATCAATCCCGCGACCACCTGTTTCATGGTCACAGGGCGGCAGAGCGCCGCCTTATCCCCGAAGAAGTCAGTACGAGTCGACGAGGTGTGAGGGCTGATGGGGCCCGAGGCTCGATTCGGCTGCCACGCTACTCCTTTGTTTGAGAGCAGCAACACTCAGGAAGCACACACGTTCTAAGACCACTAAACCACGCTCAGCGGTTCTGCCGTTCTGCCCAAGGGTCATCATCTTCTTCTTCCTCTTCCTCCTCGCCCTCGTCCTCGTCCACCTCCTGCACCGCATCTTGCTCTTGCTCTTCACCGACAGTCGCACCATCCTTCTCATCGTCCTGAAACACAGGCAGAGACTGCAGGACTGCGCCTGGCTTCGTAGCTCTGGCTGTTGCACGCCAAGGGTCAACTGATGACATCAGTGAGGCTGAAACCAGCGTGTCAGGACCTGATCGCATCAACGTGCCGGAAAAAATCGTGCCTCTGAATGCATGCCAGTACAGCGTGGTCCAAGCGGCGTTGCACTTTCATCAATCGTCCCTGGCTCCGCTTCATCGGCTTCATCACCCGGACGCGCATCACTGGGAGGCGCAACACCGAGCCGCCTCCACAGGATCTAACCGAATGTATCGACTTCCCAGGCGCCCAGATAGCATAGTATGGTATAGTACATGATAGTATGGTATAGGATAGTACATTATAGTGTTGTATGGCATAGTCTACAATACAGTATAGCATAGCCCAACCTAAACCCTAAACCCTAAACCCTAAACCCTAAACCCTAAACCCAAATTTCAAGGCTCACTGAGAGGGCCTGAGGTGCAGAGCAGCACCTCGCCCAGCCGTCTCAGAGTCTTCTCGGCCACCTGGCGCTCTTTCTGTGCAGCCTCACAGGTCTCAAAACGCCACAGGCATGTCTGTAAGCTCATATCCCTTTATTTATATATATATATATATATATATAATTAATTAATTCAATTATGTATATATATATATGATGTGAAGCCTATGCCGCACCTCGAAGTGCTGCTGATCTCGGTGTTGCTGATCAAAGTACGGCTTTTGCTTTTTGGCACTGAGGCTCTCAAAAGGAGCCTGCCAGCTCTGCAAGTGTTCTAAGAGCTCTTCCCCGCAGGCGAAGAAGCGGCCTCCTCCTTCTCCGGCTCCGGATCCTGACCTCTGGCTGCAGCTTCCTGCACCGCCTCTGTGCGGGCTTTTGCGCAGGACTCCTTGCACGTCGGGTTTTGAATTCGGCTTCCGGCACTGCATGGCAAGACGCCCTGCAGAGCTGTTGCAGTGATAGTCCTTGTACAGGATAGCTGCTTCCCGAGGTTTGGGAGGAAGCTGAGGAAGTTCATCGCTGGGGACGACACACACTGCCACCACGTGCCCGTCTCCCTGCACACTGAGGCACAGTTCTTTTGCGAGGTGACCAAAACAAGCACGCATCGCGAACGGTACATGGGGGTCGGGAAGGCCGTATAATTATGCAACAAGAGGGCAGCGTGTTCACGCAAGGAGCTGCGAGTCAATTCTGGATCCGAGGCCTGAAGCTTGACCCGCTTCCCCGTCTTGTTTCGAGATGAGAGCTTGATGTCAGAGAGACGGACCTCAGAGAAGCAAGGGGCCCGTGCCGACGGTGCGGAGTTGAGATACCACAGGCCCATGTTGTTGGAGAGCTGCAAGCTTGCGTGCGAATGCAATTTTGCTGGGATATTTACAATTAAAAAACATGAGAATCCGGGTTTTGCACTGGCGGAACAGAAACGGCAGAGATGTGACACCCGGGCCCTCCACCCGCTTGCCAAATCCGTCGTCGCTGACGAGGAGCACGCTGTGGGCCCTTGGAGCTTAAAAAGCAGAGCCTAAAACGTCCTCAAGGTACTTGGAGCACCAAGACGGAGGCTCCAGGAAGTCCTGCATGCTGGCGGAGACCGTGCCCGTGCGGCCCTGAGGCGATGCCTGAGGAGACTGTGGTGATACCTGGAACGCGATGCGGCGTTGCGAACAGACACTCTACTTGGAGGACCATGGGACGTAGTAAGTAAGGTTATAAGTCCCCTAATTGGGTTATAAGTATAGTTAGTCCCATGATCCTTTAAGTAAAACAGGCAGCAAAGAGCGCCTCAGTGGGCACATTGCTCCTCACATCGTCCATGTCCGCCTGGAGATGCTCTGGATGTCAATGTCCATCGACACTTCCGCCATCGTGACGCAATGTTGTTGAAACGGATGCAGAACACAGCGGAACCTCTTCGTCGTCATCCTCGGGATCGGCCTGGTCCGGTTCTCTGATGAACGGCCGAAGTGGCTACGAAGGAATCAAATCGCCTTCGCATTCTTCTGTTGCATAACTTCAGGGCCTGCATTTGCCAAAGTTAGGGGTGTGCAGCGGCTTAGTTGGGTGCACGTTTTTCAGATGCCTGTCGTGACTCTGGACACCAGCTTCCGAAGCTTGCCGAGCAGAGCACCTTGTCTAGGCCGCAGCAATGCGCTATGATACCTTTGTGGTGCCTACTGCCTCTGAGGTGCTGTTACCTTCGGCCTCCTTCGAGCTTTGAGGCCTGGCTCCAGGGAACGGGCTCGGGAAAAGCTTGCAGAGTCTGCGGGCCTCTCGTCCTCCTCCTCATTGTCAGAATCATCATCGTCTGCCACATGTCCTGCACAGAGGGACAGACCCTGACATCCGCATCTGCTGCACTTGGGTGGTTGTCAAAATTACGGTCCCTTTTTGGGTCCCTAATATCATGCGGCACCTAATACTTAGGGCACCCAAAGAGGGACCCTAATTTTGACAACCCACTTTTTTTGAGACCGCGACGCTTTCTTGGCTGCCCAGTCGTCGCCGGAGGAGGGGCCTGGAACAAGGCGTCACAATGAGGGGGTTTAGGGTTTAGGGTTTAGGGGGATAGGGTTTAGGGTTTAGGGGTTTAGGGTTTAGGGTTTAGGGGTTTAGGGGTTTAGGGTTTAGGGTTTAGGGTTTCCGAAGATTAGGGTACCTTATTTTGGGGTCCTTATAATAAGGATCCTACTATTTAGGGTACTATATTAGGGTCCCCTATTTCTAATCTAGTACCCTAATTATTTGGATCCTTAAAAAAGGACCCCAAAATAAGGTACCCTAATTGAAACTCCCATGAAAGGCAGCCAGAGGATTTACAACTCACAACGCTGCAGTGGGAAGCCACTTTTTTTCTGAAGACAAACATGCAGGGGATCATAAAACACACAAACGTACACCTACTTAAGACTTCGCTTATCGGACCGGGGACAGCAGAAGCACACGGGAATATGGCAATCACAGACACTAGAAGCATAGTGCAGTTGGAAGTCTTGACTGGAAAGCAAATGAGCAACAGCACATGTAGCTCATGGACGCAAGTCAGATGAAGCCAACAGTACCCATCGCTGCTGCCTATGACTGCTGTCACAGACTTGAATATGGCTCCATCCCTGATGTGATGACCTCCTCACGGCCCGGATTCTGGCCATTCATTGCACGGGCCTGCAGAAATCGAGATGGTCTGCTCACAGTTCACCAAACTCTCCCTTTGTGGCATGCCTTTGCGTGCCACTCTTCCTTCTCCGAATCGCTGAGCGATTTCCAGGCTGCGGAAGCCTGAACCCACGAAACAAGCAACTGGCGCCAAACCCTAAACTCGGCGGCATGGAATCTTAGCCGGGGACCTGCACAAGGTTGCTGCCAGACTCCTGCAGAGGCACTGCTCTCACCAGGAGTACTCGGCCTTCGTGTGGCTACTCGCGGAAACATGTGGCTGCCCACCGAAGAAATGTAAGAAGTTGCAAACGTTCGCTGGTTCCTTGCTCCCCTAAGCCCTAGACTCCAATAATTATTTGCATTCGTAGCAGGAACCTGGAACTCATGACATGACCTTCCTCAGTGGCATACCGAACATCAGACATTGCTTGCGGGATTTCGCTGTGTCTACCTAAAGATGCATGACATCTGTGTCCTTCGCATGCTTTGCAAAGAAGTTCCTGTCTGTAGCTCTTGTGTCATGGAAACATGTCTGCATTTCCGATGGTCGTTGACCCAACCCAGCTTGGCTTTTCAAACCGTGTACAATGCTGCATGTCCACAGACTTTGGCACGTTACGGAGGCATCCGGAAATAGGGGACCCTAATATAGTACCCCTAAACAGTAGGATCCTTATCATAAGGACCCCAAAATAAGGTACCCCTCATTAGGGAAACCCCCAAATAGGGCTTCCATCATGTCCTGGACCTTTCAGCGGTTGGTGCAGGCTCTGGACTCTGGGCCTCGCTACTACTATGCTTATTATGATTCTTATTATCAGTATCTATTTTGAAAAACTTTATGTGTATATATATATATATATATGTATATATATATATATGCCAGCCGCCCCTGGTGTGGAACCTGCCAGTAGATCTTGTATCATAGCTGCAACTCTTCCTAGAAAGTTGATCTCTTCCTCCTCAGGCTCACCTGCGTGACGGTGCCAACTAGCCCATCCTGAAGGAGCTGTCCCTCGATTTATGAATGTTCACAGTGCAGCAAATCAGCGCAGCCCTCAGGAAACCTCGATCTATTGCCGTCATCTCTTCCAGCATTTTTGCCCTTTCTCGTCGATATTCACATATACGCACGGACAGACAACTGAAGGCGAGCGAATCAAGGCATTTGCCGATGTCAGAGCAATGTCTGACACACAGAGAAATGTGAGTTCCACAACGAGCAGCATGCACTGCTTCCCCTTTGCACTCCTTGCAGAAGAGATTGTATCCACTGATCCTCCAACAACAAACAAAACATCCAAGCAGATTTCAATGTTGCAGTAACGGACGCATGCTACGTGCATCCATTGTGTATCAAGTCCTCCTGGCTTTCTCCGGCTTGGCTGCATCGTCACGAGTGCTCTCCGGGACAGAGGCAATGCCGCAGCCACCAACCCTGCGTGGGAACGAAACGTTGCTGCCAGAACCAGGCTCACGACAGTGTGGAACTGGCGAAGGATCGCTCCGCTTACCCGCAAGAGCAGCCCAACTGATTGAATCCATTGCACATCTTCTCTCAAAACGCACCTCGACTCGCCACCAATTTTCTCTCCGGCATGACACGCAGAGGCATACACCCCGAGCACATTTACAGAGCCGGCGTTCGTGGACATCGGATGCCACGGTTCGGGTCAAGAATGCGCACGATTTATCACCGTAGGTGGTCGCGGCCCATCCTTGGCTCAGAGGGACAGCACAGCTAAGCGGAGTATCCAGTTCTTAAAGTCTGCACGAAATTCACAGGCAAGGAACGGCTGGCCACAGAGACGGCAGCACATCATCCTAGACGTGCCCGTCTTACTAAACATAGACAACCTCCAGTGGTGAAATCGGGTCCGCCTCTTCCAGACAATGAAGCTGCCCTACCCACGCACCGTAGTGACCGCACCTGCAGCTAAGAAGATGCATTGCACCTTCCTACAAAGAGGCCAGGGTCTCCGAGAGAGGCACCGCAATGTGTCAGCAGTAGGAGTCCGGTTGTCCATGCACTGGACATCCTGAGGATATCTAATACTTCGAGCAGTCATAGCGATGCATTGCATCGCGGCTCTGTCGGACTGATCGTGCTGGGGACGCCGGCACACCGAAGCCTGCCCCAAGAACACGGAGGAAGACTAAGAGGATCGCAGGACAGCACAACATCTGTGGCGCTGCGCCTTCCCTCTGTGCTGGGCTCTGGGAGGCAGATCGAGACCCCGCCCGGCGTGCCGGAATGAGGTCCACATGCCTGGTTCGGGAGCTAAAGCCGATGCAGGCAGCAATGCCTGGATCAAGACAGCCAGCTCCACTGCCGGAGGCAGGGCGTGGTAGCGCCTCGGAATCGAGAGGACGGCCTTCTACCTCCAAAAAATGCAGAGGACGCGCTGAGCTTCGGACCAGAGGTAGCTTGTCGGGTCAGACACCAAGTTGGCTTTCGCAGCGAATCCGGTCTTCTTGCGCTTTTCAAAGGGGTAGCCTTGCGGCTCAAAAGAACAGCCACAGCGCTGGAGTCACAGAAGCTCTGCTGCAGAAGTCTTGCAGATGAGCTCCACGCCCCAGTTGGCGAAGGCATCGTGCAGTGGAGCCTGTTTTGTAACAGTGGTTGAGCGTTTTCAACATCCCGGGCACCTACTCAGCACATGGAAAGTGCATCTTTTTGTCTCGCTCTCGTGAGCTGTCACGCCCTGGTTGTTTTATCGGGGACTCACACACCAAGGCATCGGTCCTTATGGACGAGCCTCTGTTCCCTCCTAGTAGGACACTCCTGGGATCCGCAAGGCCTTAAGGTCATCCTCGGTTCCACAGACGTCAGAGCACAGCACGGGACTCGAAACGCCTAAGCCTCAGTGCCGAGGAGGTCGACTGCCTAGCAAGGTAAGCAAAGCGGGCATCCGATCGCTCACAGCTTTTGCCTAAGAGGCTGTCAGCACAACGCTCCCATTGCGCATGCCACAGTCACATCTTGCCTCCTTCAGAGATTCAATCTCTTCCTGCCGTCGCGCATTGCGCTCCTGAGCGGTGGAGCCTGTCGCCAGGCAGGAGTCCTGCCAACAGAAGAGCATCTGTCAAGCTCCACCCTGGGGGCTGTGGTCAGAACGTCATTGTCAAGCTCATACTCAGTTTCACCCATCCTCACTACTGTCATCGCCTACACCGAGGTAGTAGGTGCAGACAGCGGGCAGTGTCGGTGTGCACGGCAAGAGACATGACCATGGCACAGGATTTGAGATATGATGACATTGAAGATGAGCCGGGGCCGGTAACGGGTGGCATGTCAACTGTGCTATGCAGGATGATGAAGTGATTGTGGGATGGTGGCGGCAGCATTCGTGCCACAATCCTGTTGTAACACAACACTGCTTAGCGAAGCAGCGAGGATCTTTGATGGCCCCGGGATGATACGGTGCCACAATACTAATACTCGAGTGATCGAGTAACACTGGCCTGCGAAGGAGCAACGGGTGCACAACCAATAAGATGAGAAACCGGCTAACCAGGAGCACAAGACAGAGAAAAAAACAACTCTGCAAGCTACCACCGGTACGGAAACAAAGAACACGCGCAGTCACTGTCGTACGGACTCACCAGCAGGTTGGGGCGTGAAGCACCCGATGCTCAAGACACTGCTGGAGCAAACCCGCCTTGAGCTGCTCGTAGTACTCCTCCGCCGCCTGAAGCTCCTTCTTGGAGTTTGACCTCGGCCCCGCTGCGAGTTCATTACGAATGCGAAGACTCGCATGGGCACAGCCTGCAGGCGGCTGAGCTTTTGACAGGTCGGAGGTGAGGCTCACTATGAGCTGCTCCTCAAAGCTAGGTGTGAGGAAGCCTTGGGCGGCTGGTCGGTATTCCAAGCTGTGTCCTTCTCACCTTTCTGGAGCTTCTTGTGCTCCAAGTCTTTCTCTTGCTGCGCCTGGCTCCAAGTGTACAGGTGCATCAAGCGGCAGATAGCACCGTTTGCCCGAAACAGCGCAAACTCACAAAAGGCGGAGATCCGCCTCCAACACTGCCATTTCCGACTTGAGGTTGGTAAAGTCCTTCTCTGCAGATGCTTCCTGAGCTTCTGTGGTGCTCTCCAGCTTGGCATAGTCAGACTGGACCACCTGCATCACAACTCCTAACATGACCTCAAAGCCGAGGCCTACACTGCCCCCTTTTGCCCTTACACCAAACCCTGAAGAGCGGAGCCTCCTCTCGGCCTCTGAAAGCCTGAAGCCTTGATGCCAAGCCTTCGGCTTACGAACGCTGCTAATTCCCTGAACAAGGCCCCAGTGCCATGGGCAGGTGGACCATGTCATGGCCAACTGAAGCCCTGCCTCCAGCATGGCAATCACACTGTCGCTGCCCTGACCCGCGTAGGCACCATCGAAGACCTCGGGCGCGGCCCCAAGCTTACCAGTTTGGACCAAGGACGCCTTGGGCTTCTTCATGCTCGCGTAGTACTCGCGGAGAACCGCAATCGCCTCGGTGACTGCCTTGTTGGCATCCCTGGCATCGGCGACGGTCTTCTTGTTCTCGGATTGCTCCGCCTCCCGAGCCTTCGTCTGATTCCCCAAGCTCTCCTTGTTTTCGGCCAGCTGGCTGATGAGCTCAGTGATTTCAGATGCGAGCTTTGCTACCTCACTCTCCGCCGACTCCACCTTGGCCTGCGTGTCCTCCACATCCGTCTCGTGGGACGTGCGGGCCTTCTCGTTCTGGCCCATCTCTTTGTCGCACCAGTCCCTGTGCTCCATGTCCTCGCTGGACTCCTCCTGCAGATTCTGTAAGGCTGCATGGTTGCACCAATGCATGACAGCCCAGGTCTCATGAATTTGCAGGGCTACGCTTCGTTGGAGGTCTCGGAAACCACGTACGATTACTGAGCCTGGGAGACCAAAGTCGTTTCATTGCCTCCCTGGAGCGCAGCGGGCTTACCGATACAGAACCCTGGGCTGTTACGGGGCCCAAATCATGAAGGCATGTCTTCCACAGTTCGAAAAGCCGACCTCCAGCCTGGTGATCATGCCCTCGACCATCTTGCGGACTTTTTCCATGGGGTCCGCAGAAAGACCTTGCATTTCGCTTCTGCGGAGCAAGCCCAGCCGCACGGCTGCGCTGATCATCACGTGGTTTTGCAGCCGCGGAGCCAATGCGAGCGGCCACGGAAGAGAGAATGCGGCCTGGCGCGTGAGGCAAACATAGGCCACTTATCTGCAAGCTGTGGTTGGAGGCCACATGCCGTGCTTTGCCATGCTCAGATGCCTACACCCCTTCAACTTTCCAACCGGTAACCACGAGACCCAACTGCCTTTCACCCCGAAACATGACAGGCCAAACCCTCCCCGAAACACTGAGGTGGCCGAGGCCGGCGCTGTTGAACTTGACGGCCTGCTTCTGCAGGTACTTGGCCGCCCGGGCCTCTCAAGTAGCAAGCGAGTCAAAAAAGTAGCAGTAGTAGTAGTAGTAGTAGTAGTAGTAATTGTTGTTGTTGTTGTTGTAGTTGTAGTTGCAGT